AGTCATATAAATTTTTAAGTTTACTTCTGCAAATTGTGCCTAGATCAGTGTAGGATTTTTGTGAACAGTTTTTCATATGGCTTCTACTTGATCTGATCAAACACTCTTCAGGGAGATTTATATCTTTGTTTTTTGGTGTATCTGGAAAAATTTCATCCTGGCAAGAAATACAGTTCCTTGGGGCACTTAAAGCAATTTTGATGGATTGTTTTGACATAAGAATAGAGGGACTGGTAGAAAGTTCAGTGTATCAGTAGAATGGCATGTAAGGGAGCCAAGGATTTGATTAACAGGTTGGAAAATAATATTTCCTAGAAGGTTATGTTATATGTGCTGAACCCACCATTTTAAATATTGGATGGAGATGTAAGTGATCTGGGTTCTTCATTCATAGCATGTCATAATAATATGGCATGATAAATCAATAAATTTTAAGCTGCCACAAGAATCTGTTTTTACAGCCACAGATTGACACAGCTATCTAAATGAAATTTGCTCATAATGCTTACTCATTGCACCAAGATATGAATGCAGTGAGGTGATAATAACACTTCCTTTTTATTGCAAAAGATCAGAGAAATAGAGGGTGCTATGTAAATTATCAAGATCTATCTCACACACAGGCAGGGTGTCAGTGTTAAGGTGAATGTTTTGATAACTTAGAATAACAGAATCATAAATTTGGAAGAGACCACAAAGGCCAGTCAGTCCAATCCCCTGCCATGCAGGAATACACAATCAAAGCAGCCCCGACAGATGGTTATCCAGTCTTTGTTTAAAAACCTCCAAAGAAGGAGACTCCACCACACTCCGAGGAAGTGTGTTCTACTGTTGATCAGCTCTTACTCTCAGGAAGTTAATATTTTTTCCTGTAGTTTGAATCCATTGCTCCATGCCCCAGTCTCTGAAGCATCTGAAACAAGCATGCTTCATCCTTAATATGACATCACTTCAAATATTTAAACATGGCTATCATATAATCCAGGGGTAGGCAACCTTTCCCCTTTAAGGGCCGAGGGACTTCAGCTCCCAGAAGCCTCAGCCATGTTGGCCAATAGTCCCGTGTTGGCCAATAGCTCCTGGGATTCTGGGAGCTGAAGTCCCTCGGCCCTTAAAGGGGAAAGGTTGCCTGCCCCTGATATAATCCCTTAACATTCTTTTTGCCAAGGTAAACATAAGCCACTCATCATAGGGCATGGTTCCCAGACCTAGTACATGCTCCAGTTTGTCTACATCCTTCTTGAATTGTGGTGCCCAGAACTGTGCACAGTTTTGCAAAGGAGGTCTGACCAAAGCAGAATAGAGTGGGACCATTACAGTTGCCCCTCCGTTTTCATGGACTTGATGTCTGCATCCCTCATCCATTCGCAGGCGGCAAACGGGGACAAAATGGGGCCATCATTCAAGCCAGTGAGGTTTGAATACTTGTGATTTTCTGTTTTTGCGGGTGTGTGTCCAGAATGGATCCCTGCAAAAACAGAGGGGCGACTACTTCCTTTGAGCTAGACTCTATACTCCTATTGATGGAGTGTAGAATTGCATTGACATTTCTAGCTGCTGCACCATACTGTTAATGCATGTTCAGCTTGTGGTCAACTAACAACCTTAGATCCCTTTCACATGCATTGTTGCCAAGCCATGTGTCCCACATTCTATATCTGTGCATTTAAAAAAAAAATCCTACCCAGGTGTAGTATCTTATATTTCTCCCTGTTGAAAATAAATTAGTTAGCTTTGGCCCAGCATTCTAGGCTATTAAGATCATTTTGAATGTTGATCCTGGCCTATGGGGTATTAGCTACTCTTCCTAATTTGGTGTCATCTGCACATTTCATAAGCATGCTCTCTATTCCATCATCCAAATCATTGATGAAGATGTTGAATATCACTGGGCCCAGGGCAGAATCCTGTGGCACCCTACTAGTCACTTCTCTCTAGGATGAGGAGGGGCCATTGCTGAGCACCCTTTGGGTTCAGCCAGTCAACCAATTACAAATCTACCTAACAGTTGTATTGTCTACCCCACATTTTGTTAGCTTTTTTGCAAGCTTGTCAGAGGCCTTACTGAAATTGAGATATACTACATCCATATTCCTTCATTTGCCAAGTTGTTAATTTTGTCAACAACAACAACAAGTCGATAAGAATAGTTTGGCAAGACTTGTTTTTGAGAAAATCATGTTGACTTTTCATGATCATGGCTTTTCTTTCTAAGTGTTTACAGACTGTTTTGTGATCTGCTCAAGAAACTTTGTTGGTAGGCTGACTTGGTGGTAATTGATTGGGTCCTTTTTTTCCTCCTTTTTGAAGATGAGGACAACATTTGCCCTCCTTCAGTCTGCTTGGACTTCTGTTTTTCTTGTGTTTGGAGTTTTTTTAAAAAAAATCAAACTGAACAGATTTAGCAAGAACTGCTTTTCTCTTTTGAAATTCCATTGTTAATACTTGTACTTCCTGTACTATACTGAAAAGAAGGCAAGTTTGTTATTCTCAAGTACAGTTGTAAGACAGTGTCATGAACCTGTTTCACTACATTTTGTGGGATATATCAAACTATTTTGCTATTGCATCCTCAGCCATTAACTGAATAAGAGAATGCACTTTATGTAGATTTTTCTCACAAACTACTTCATCCCCTTCTCTGACACAGAAGCATTTGATCTGTGGGCAACTACATATGTTACATATGAATATTTATAATTCTTTAACCACTGCTGATAGCTCATTGAAATAAAAATTCTTAAAGGTTGTGATGGAAGCCTGCAGAAGATAGACAGTGCTTCTCAAGAGCTAAAAGTAGCTTGAGGATACATTGTTTCCCATGTTTTAGATATATTTCCTTCATTGTACTATGCCTAGGTCCAAAAAAAGTTGTTAAGAGTTTTGACACTATACTAGCCCTCCCCTGGTTTATCAGAGGTCACTGTGCATTGAGCATATACTCCCATTTTAAGTTTTTAAGTCTTATGAAACTTTTTGTGTTCAGTTTAGATAGGTTAGTAACATAATGGTGTAACAAAGCTTTAGGTTTGTATATATGACATCAATCTTTCATGAAGAGAACATGTGAACAAAAAAAAAAATTGCTACAGTGCATGAGTTCTGAAACAATGTGTTGTGCTCTCAAATCTTTTTCTCGCAAGGGTCAGATCTGACTCAAAAATCCAGTGAGTGTTCTGTCAGAAATTGGTGGTTCTATATGTGACTCCCCTGTATAGTTAACTATTGAATGACTGTGACTTCTAGCCTTGCTACTGAATTCTCCTAGACAGGAAAGATTGTAAGGGAGCTTCTTGTTCTATTGGGTCTTGTTGAAGAAACACTCTGTTTACACTCTAACAGTTTGATACTGTTGTCATAACTCTTTCCGGTGGAATCCTAGGATTTTTACTTTGAAGAAGAAGCTTATCTTCTAGAGAGCACTTGTCTACTTCTCTGAACTACAGCCCTAAGGTCTAAGTATCTCATTAAAAATTATAGGTTTCCATAGGCTGGAGGCACAGCACTTAAAATGGCATCAAATTGCTAAATAATGGGCCCTTGCTATCTGCTAGGATTTGGTTCAAGGATCAACCCCCCCCCCATGGATATCAAAATTCAGGGATAATGTAACTTTTATGAACCCCTCTGCAATATTCAAGTCCCATTAAATGCAATGGCATAGTAAAATGCTGTCCCTTATGTAAAATGATAAAACAAAGATTTGCTTTTTGGAATATATATTCAAGCTATGTATGCTTGAATCCATGGTTATAGAATCTATAGATACGGAGAGTCGTATGGTATACTTAAATTCACTGTCACAGCTCTGCTGTGTTCTGTACCCTTGAATATTCTTTGATACTAACTTTTCTGGAAAACTACCTCCTGCTTTGTCTCTTTGTCTTCGCTATTGTCT